GCTTCCAGACTGCACCCACAGGGATTTAAACTGGCAAAGAATCAGAAACATTGATTTGCGCCTCCAATCCGGAAAGCTTAAGAATTACCTTCTCTCCTTCATGTGGAGGGGCTTTTTTTGTAAAAGCTCACAAAATTCGCCCGCGAACCAAACCGCAAATTATTGTGTGACTAAGTACGCAGTGATTCGACCCTACTATTTTCACCATCATATAGCACATACCTTACGCGCCTTAAATTCAACCGCCATACTTGACACACCAGGTTAGTCCCTCGATAGCCCAAACCACGGAACCTCCCTTCACTGCGTAATCTTGACGCCTTCCACTGTGTAAAAAGATTTCCTCCACCTCTTCTCCATTTCCTCCTCTCCTCTCTCCACTGCTCTACCGCCAGTGTAGCACCATGTGAATAACCAAGAGTGTGCTAAGTAGGTGTTTATATAGCCCTGTTCTGTTATCACAACTATGCCATTGCAAAACATTGATAGGGCAATCCTGTAAGCTACCCGATTTGTTAGCGGTTTGTTTATCCATTGCTTCCTTATCACTCACTTCATTTTGCGGACGGACAGACAGACGTACATACATACCACAAACAAACCGACACACCAAACTTCTGGTTTATATAATGAAGTGATTCCTCAGAGTATCCTCAATGGTGTGTTGATAGTAATCATTGAAGGAATCTATCATTGAAGCATGGGGATTTCTTCCAGAAGCTTACCAAGACTCAGCCCCTTCGAAGCACTGCTAGTTAATGTAGATCACGTTCATACGACGACATCCGACTGATTCATACACTAACATAAGACGCAATTGTCTTCTTTAAAGACAAGTCTCAGGATAATATGGGTGTGTAAGAGCGTTTAGTAGTGAAGCTGAGGTGGGAGTTCTGGGAAAGGAAAAAAGCAAAAGAAACCTCCGACTACGCTCCGCAACAGAGACCTCCCTCTATTTCAGCCGCATTCCACCTTGGAATGAAGAAGGAGCGTGTTGGACGAATTTCACCTTCAAGCAGAAGAAGGGGCGCGAAGTCAACGGTTATCCGCCTGTCTACTACGATCCAGGTTGGAACAGAGGAAGAATGCCTATCTGGACCGTGCCTTTAACTCGCTACCGCTGCGCTGTTGATTCCATATCCTAAAACTCTAGGGCTCTTGTATTCTTATGAAACTAGGGCACAACTACATCTTGAACAGATCAGTGGACACAGATAAAGCCGAAAACTAATTTCCATTTTATTTTCCTATTGCAATGGATTATATTGGCCCGGAAAAATTCCACCTTGACTCTTTTGTAAATACCCTAAAACGATCCGGTCTTAAAATCAGCGGTATGCATCATCCCAATCCTGTATTCGACGCCCACACAAGGACAACTAGTCGATTTTCAACCCCTGCCCCCATGCTAGAATGATTCGAGGTTGTAGTCAAAAGAGTCGTTCAGTGTTTCTTCTAACTGGTTCACCGTCCCAATTTTTTCCGTTCAAGGAAATGAATAAGGGTAAATAATTGGACGGGACAAGGCAGGCGTTCTCAAGAACCTGACTGGTCACCTGCCAGCCCCTACTGCAGCCGTGTAACGATTTGCAAGCGGGATTGTCAACCAAGATTATATGAGAGTTGATAGCTGCAACTATCAACTTCCACACAATCCAGCCGAACTTGATTGTGTGGAAGTTGATACTGACAGCCATCACCTCTCACACAATCCAAGTTGAGCTAAGAAAGTATGGCTGCATAAATTAATTCCTCAAAGCACTCAGCAGCTTTGCCTCCCGCTTGCTTACGGCAAGAATCTTTATACTTGCCCCAAGTCCTCGGTTACAGTCCTTCCAAGAGACGATTCAAAATCTCAAAGCTGCTTTCTTTCCATTGATACTCACCGTGAGTGAATTTTTATACCCTTACCACTTTCCACGTTTGCAAGGTTGATGCAAAGGAATCCGCCCAACCACAAAATCTTGTTCTGGTGTGGAAGCGAGACTGGGAGAATTCCACTGCTTGAAAAAGCTCTACAGCGGAAACAGATGTCGAACTACCGGAACAGAGAGCTCAGCTGCTTCTCTGTCCGAGGACACGGCGTTATTTTGACGCTAATAGGCAACTTAAAACCTCATTCTGAATCGCGGCGTGACGACGAGACATGACACGTCCAACAGAAATGTTGTGAGTGCATCGCGCTTTCTCGTTTGCTTTCCAATTCAAGGAATAAGTGCATTCGTACGTTTTTGAAGAACTCTTTGGACGCAAAAATCGAAAACAGAAACATTGAATATATTAAAATGAAACAGCATCCAAAAAATGGGATCCAAAATAAAAAAAAAAGTATCCGCTTATGAAAAGAAAAACAACAAAAAAGTTTGCTACTGGAACAAAAAAGGTGAAGGTGTTCCTATGAAAGTGATTTTTAGGGTAAAAGCAATGGATGATAAATCATCCGGCTGATTTATCATCCATTGCTACACTACTTCATTACTACACATTGCTACTTCTACATCGTATCCCAAAAAGGGATTGATCAACGCAGGTGATAAATCCCTTTTTGGGATACGATGTAGAAGCCAGTACTTTTATACACCCAAGTCTGATAACAAATAGCCGACGAGTGTACTCGTATTTGATCCCTGTATTGCGCACATAGTAAGCGGCGCAACTTGACACTACAGCACTTCTGGGGCCGTATGCAACAAGCCCCGAATGTCTTCGGGGATATGCCCTCTAAGGTCGCATGTCGTCTAATGACCCCTTGCAAATCTTGCAAATCCTGCGGCCTGAATTCGCTGAAACATTTGCTTTTCGGGACTTGCATTGATTATTAGTCAATAACTGCACTCAACCCAACTCTACTCCTACGTCTCATCTCCATGGAAAGAGACGCACGCAGGATTCTCCAAGAGGTTGAACGAACCTATTGCACCCCAAGTCATTGAAAAAAGTGCCAAACATTGACAATTCTGAATTGAGTCAGACAAAAGGAAACCAAAGGAATCTGAGACCATTCCTATTTCTATAGGGAGATTTCTAACTTTATAAGGATTCTCGACAATGAATTATTATATTGCCGAAATAAACTTGATCATAAAAGCTTAATTAGAAGTAGAAGTAGAGCGGATCTCGAAATAATTAGAGCACATTTTCGGTGGCATTATTCCTTCACGATTCATGCAAACTCATCGATTCGCTAATGAATACCTACCCAATAGTCCCCACAGATATACAGACATCATAAACTTACCGGAGCCTAAAATTATGGCGGGAACTGAATATGAATTATTGAGGAAGTACCTGTGGAGGAGGTTCGTTCAACAAAACTAGCAATGCTTGAAGAACAAGATTGGAGAAACGAGGACCAACGGGTGAATAGTCTGAAACGAACAGCAATTATGAAAGCATAAAGCTTGGTATCGCGAAGTGTGGTGAAGAATCGTTATACCAAGCAATCTTTCCACATTATCTATGAGCAGAACACTCAATCTGGAACGGAACGCATCAGCAAACGCTTTTCGGAGACACTGACATTTTGCTGATTCCGAAAATCCTACCATATCTCCAGGAGATACTACCTAAAATAGACACAGCTAGTTCAACAAAATGAATAGCTGTTTGGAGACACTGGAAGAGAAGAGAGAGTATTTACTTGGACAAGCATTCATACCTTGATAAGAG